TCTGAGCTATTTGCTCTATGTGTGTCCCTTTTGTTGGTGTCTCTTTTGTGGGTTCTTTGGGCTCTCTTATTGTGATTGGGTCTAGATTTTTGTTGACCCCTTCTTGGGAGGATTCTTCTCTCAAGTTGGTGAACTATGAGGCTCAGCCACAACCACATCATGTTAGCTGTTCTACAGGTGCTGAAAGGCAAAGCAAAACACAACCAAACTGCTAGGAAACAAACAGTAACTTACAAAATATCCTGACAATCACAATGAAAACATTGCTAGGGAACGTAGAATTGGGAGCATAAAACAAGAACACAAATGCTAATGCAAAAAAAAGAGAGAGAGGGAGAGAGAGAGAAAAGGAATATTATTTGGTAATAGCAAAAAAAATTAACAATAATAATAGTAAAAAAATTAAAAATAATGATAAAATTAAAAGTAAAAAATAGAGACGCTACTGGAAGATAGAAGGGGCAGAGAAAAGATTCTGAAAGAAAAGAAGGGTGAGCAAAAGAATAAGGGTAGAGTGTAGGAATAGGAAAATGCCTAAAAAAATAAAAATAAAATAGATAAACACAACGAACAAACAAAAAGATAGGAATACAGATAATAAAAAGGGAGGAAAAGAAAAGAAAAAAGGAAAGAAAAGAAAGTTATACCAGTGGAACAAGAGAAAAAGAGGTAAAGCAAGGTCAAGGAAGGAGTCTAATAAGTGATACGGGTGAAACACTAGAGAAAAGCAATAAACTTATTGGTTATGGTTATAATGATAACATCCCAGCAATAAAACAGAGAATATCAAGAAAATCTTGATACTAGAACAAAGAAACAAAACACAACAAAGCAGAAAAAAAAAAGCAAAGCAAGACAAAACAAATTTTTTTTAAAAAAAAATATCTTTATTGATTTCAGAGAGAGGGAAGGAGATGGAGAGAGAGAGAGAAACATCAGTGATGAGAGAGTCATTGATCAGCTGCCTCCCACACGCCCCCAACCGAGGATCAGTCCCTCAACCCGGGCATGTGCCCCGACCGGGAATCGAACCCCGATCGCCTGGATTCTAGGTCGACGCTCCACCGCTGAGCCACGCCCGGCCTGGCACAAGGCAAATTTTTAAAAATTTAAAAACAATTAAAATCTTTAAAAAGAAATTGTTTTTTTCTCTTTTCTAAAAAAAAAAAAAGAAAGAAAGAAAAAGGTTAATCAGGTGAGTTTCATCTGGGCAGCTTATGCTGTCTGAGGCTCCCTGTTTTGTATGCTGATTTCATGTCTCCTGGGAGGTACTTGTCTGTCAGCCAGTGTCAGGGACTGTCTAGGTTTGGCTCTGGTGTCCGTAGGTAGTTGGCTGATCTGAGGCTCTCTGTGGACCACCTCCACCTGTCAGCTAATTTGCCTCCCCCTTGTGGTTTCCTGGTCTTACTGCAACATCTTCTGAAGAGTCTTTAGGGTGCAGGATGGCTAGTGTACCTGGGGATATTGCTCCCCTTACATAGAGGTTTCACTGTCAGGCACTCACTGTGGGGAAGTTAGTCTGCTTCAAAGCCAACTCCTCAGTCTCTACCTTATCCTCCAATTCTAGTTCCCCATACAGTGGCCTTTTCTGTATGGGCAGCTTCAGTAGCCTGGGCTCAGTGGGTTTGATTTTAAAAAGATTCCTGTGAGCACGTTGCCTCCCCAGCCCCCAGACAGGGTTTTAAGCTTTTCCTCCAGTTCCCAAACAATAGTCCCTGAGAGTCTTATTCTTGTAATGTCCTCCTGTGAGCTGTTCTCCCTTCCCCCGCAGGCCTGTGCCCTGTGGGGTATATCTGGGGCTTCAGTGAGCTGAACCCGCCCCTTTCCTGTTGTGGTGGTGCTCCTAGCCTGCAGGAGAGGTAGGCGTGCTTCGCCCCTCCTTTCCCAGGTGGTTGGATAATCTCTCAGGGAGCTCAGTTTAAACTCTCCATAATGCAGACATAAATCCCAGCTTTCGCTTGTCTGTCTCCCTAATGCAAGCCTGGTGGACTCCTGTTCAGCAATCAAAAACTCAAAAATGCACAAAGCAACACAGGCAGAGAACCTGCCCTATGAGGTCCCGGTGCCACTGCGCCTCAGTACCAAACAGGATAGGTAACAAAGTCAGCCCCACTCAGGTGCCTTGCATAGCTGATCTCACTGAAGCTGGGGCAGCTCCTTGTGCACTATTGTGGCTCCACTCAGAGCAGGTCAAAAATCTCTTACTCACCCCACCGGCAGTTCTGGGGGTTGGAGACCCGATCTGCCCCACTTGCAACTCCAGCGACTGGAGACCAGTCTTCTGGTGGCTCTGATTCATATTCTCTCTCTCTCTCTCTCTCTCTCCTTCTCGCTGTGGGAGGTCTCTCTTCCCCTTCCCCATGTGACACAGTTCAAATGCTTTCTGCGGCTCTATACAATGCCTTACAGGAAAGCAGAGCGTCCCTGTAGGTGGCTGCTGGGTGCGTCCCTCTGGCCCCTTTCTATTCAGAAGCCACACCCTATGGGACAGCCTTTCCTGCAGTCAGTACCGGGGTGAGTCTCCTGCCCCTTCTGCCGCCATTAGGCCTGTTGTTTCTCTGGGAAGTTGGGGTCCCCTCCTCTCAGGCACACTTTCCTCTGGCTCCTTCTGCCCGCCCTGCTCGGGCTCTCCTTCCCTTCTGCTCTGCTCCGGGTTTAAGATCCATGCTTTTGGATACCAGTCCACACTCCTATGGGGAGGGAGCTTTGCTGCCTCTAATCATCAGGCCTCACAGCCCAGCACTAGTTTCAGGGGGGACTCCTGCTTTCTACATCTCCCCCTCTTACCAGCCTCTGTGATGTTTCTTCAGTGTTCCTTAGTTGAAATATTTCCAATCGGGTATATTTCTCTTGTTTTTCCAAGCTAGCTACGCAGTATTTTAGCTGTAAATACAGTCCTTGCCTCGGAGCAAGGACGATCTGCTTCTCTTCAGTGCCGCCATCTTCCCTCCTTGACTCTTGTTTTATGATTGACTCTTGAAAAAGTTTTTCATTAAATTTATTCATGTGACATTGGTTAATAAAATTAAATAGGTTTCACCCTGGCCGGTGTTGCTAAGTGGTTAGAGTATAGGTCTCCACACCATAGGGTCATGGATTCAATTCCCAGTCAAGGGCATGTGCCTGGGTTACAGTTTCCATCCTACATGTGGGAGGCAACCAGTTGATGTGTCTCTCTCACATCGATGTTTCTCTCTCTCTCTCTCTCTCTCCCTC